CTACCCCAAAACGAATGAAATTGAAGAGAAAATTAACCCAGCGCTGTTGACCAATATAAAACTTACACTTATAACTTTATTGGGGTGATTTCATTAACAACATTTGAACGATACGTAAGCATAATTAATTATAAGGAGAGTAGGTAGAGTGTGTGGGTGTGGGTGTGGGTGTGGGTCTAAAGCGCTCTCCAAAATGGAAACTTTTGAAAACGCTGTTTTTGTTTGCTCGTGTGGAAAGGCTTTTCATCATTGCCATTATTTGAAATCACTAGAAGGCGAGGTTCCGTGATCGTGCCGTGCCGTGCCGTGCCGTTGCATTATCATTCGAAATCAGTTCTATCTTTGATTCTTTCCGTTGAATGCACCATTTCTGCGTGATGCGAACCGTGTCCTTGCACACTCATGCACATTCTCCTCCTGGTTCGATCTCTTCGGTTAGATACGACTTAAGTTTTCGAGTGACTGGTACTTGTGAGGATGACCTTGTATTTCCTGGTAAACCACATCGGTGGTCTTGCTTATGGCAGGCTTAKGAGGAAGCTTGGTGTCTGGACTAAGTGAAGTGTAAGTATCCGTGTGAGGATTGACTGACTGGTAGATGGAATTGTTAGGACCTTCCYGTTCTTTATCATTAACCAACTCGCACTGATGGACAACTTGTTGATCTTCTGTAGGAMACTCTTGACGCATTTTATTCTGTGTAATTGTAACCAAAATTAGTATATCCAGTTCTAACTTCTGTATACCTAAGTTAGCAGCTCAATTCTTACCATGTCAACCATGTCATGCTCGACTTTTGTTCTAAAATCAAAAATTAAAAGAATTCGCGTTCAATAAGAGATATTTTTCTGCCTCGAAATTCTTCAAGCAGAACAGTTTTTTAGCTTTTTTTGTTTTGTTTTTGTTTCTTTTTTTTCAATTGTTCTTCTTTTTTTATAAAATTAAAAGCCCAGTGTGCACCATTATCTGCATTATGCTTTGGGGGGCCGCAAGGGCCGGGAGACGACCATTTGCAGTTGACCGAAAGTTTATAAATTGTACTGTGATGTGTTTCAATCTTCGACCATATAAGCACTTTAAACGCTAATATAAGAGTTTTCAGCTATCTGAAATTCATTTTATGGTRATATTTGGATCCTATTTGGATACTAGAAGTATTTTGATGTAAATCATAACCATAACAGAGGCGCGCAAAGCATAGAGTGGTTTTCATAAACCATAAATCAAAGTGTAATAATTAGAGTGTAATAGATCGTAATAGTCGAGTAGAGACAATAAAAAANAGCCAAAAGTGTAATTGGCCATTTTTATGTTTATGAAATGAATTGTAATTTCTGTCATATTGAGCCAATCGAAAAACTAACCATATCACTAAAAAGACTTTATCGACTTTAGTGTAGGTTCCAAGTTACAGATCATTTGGACAAATATTCAATTAATGAGAAGCCGTGCAATATACAGAGAATGTATGGGGCCGGGATTTTGACCGCGTCCCTCAAAACAATACATTCTCTGTTAATTTGATGAAACTAGGAATAAATACTGTTCAGCTAGTTTTATATCCAAACGTTTTGAAACTTCGTATATATACTAATTTTTGGGTGCCCTTTCATCTGGTGGGGTTTGTTTCGTGAATAGATCAATATTTCTTTGATTAGTGCCCAGTCCCCTGCGCAACGTCGAAATGGCCAATAGCGATAAATACGCTAAAGTGTGTTTCACGGGTTAATGAAAACCACTCTAATGGAAATGGGCCTTTAAGAAGTTACCTTTTCTTTCGATTTTCTTTGTTTTCTGAAGAATTAATGNTCGTCCTGGAGAGAGCTAGTATCTTAAGTATTTTTGCCTTTTTAAAGCTTAGACGTATGCGTTGGATTGGACATATGATACGTATGGACGATGGGAGAATCCCAAAAGACATTCTCTACGGAGAGCTCATCGAGGGAAAACGTCCAATTGGCAGACCAAAGCTACGATTCAAAGATATTTGCAAGCGTGACTTAAAATCACTCCGCATCGACCTAGACAAATGGGAATCCATCGCTGCTGATCGAACACCCTGGAAGCACTCAGTGAACGAGGCCATCTCGCACTTCGAGACTTCTCTCAGACAGCAGCGTGATGAGAAAAGACTGCAAAGAAAATACCGCAGCCAGATAACTCAACCATCTTCATCTAACTTCATCTGCCCCAAATGTCAAAAGGACTGCCATGCCTTCATTGGCCTAACAAGCCACACGAAACACTGTTTCTAGTGTACAGCCAAAGTCATTCGTGACTGATGGATGCCTACTACCCTGTCCAAGACATAAAAAATATTCGGTCTTTTATCTGAATTGTAGAGCCTGTTTATGAGAATTTCTTGTGAAATGTATACGTTGTTTAAGACAGCAAGGTCAAAAACCATACCCCCCCCCCCCCCCCCCCCCCCCCCCGAGGCTTTTTCCCTTCTTTTCCGACACAGTAAGGGCAGTAAGAGATTGCAGGAAATGCAAATCCTCAGAAATTCCGAATTGAAAAGATTTCAATTTACGAATTTTTACCCCGACGAGCATCCCCGAGCTCGTTCGATTGACGCCCTTTGCTTTTTAGTGCGTGTCATAACCTGGATTATAATCAAAATCTCATATGTTATTGTTATAGTTTATTGTGAAACTCATAAATAACTCGATAGACAAATACAATAGAATTAAGCCACTATTTTTACAGCTCTCTAGCGTGTTATTCCAATAAATCTTATGTATTGAGATTGGTGTGGTATAGTGCACGATTTTACCTAAACTATACCCTAAACTATACCAATATACGAAGATAATAACACGCTAAAGTTATTGCATTTATTTACATATGAAACACTTTGTCGTCAATTTTACCAGTTTTTAAGTGTAGATAGAGTACTCACACCAATCAGTCCCTGTTTACATGGAAAAACATAAGTGGAGGCCAAGTCACCCTACCAGACCAGTTCAAAAACAGTCCTCCTTGATGCGCATGTGAATAGCAATTTAAATATCATTTAAATGTATTATAGTCAAAAATAATAGAGTAGACTCATCCTACTGATGGGGTAGTCATATGACCCGCGTAAACAGGGCCTAAAAGGTATTGAATTTTCAATTTGATCTCTAAAAGGTTTTACGCGTATGGCGCACATTCAATAATATAAAGGACCCGCGGCTGGTTGTGCATCAACTCTTGATGTTAAGGTTTTTACATCATAGTAGAAATTCACTTAACGACGCGCAATAAAATAATTCTTAGTCTACCTTAAAGAATAATAAAGGTTGCTTCACCTAGTCTTCTAACCAAGTCCAGTGTCATCTTTTCTTATTTAGGGGCCAAGAGGAAATGAGGCGACGTATCTCATTTTTTCCCTTGGCGAGCTCATTGTTTCCAGTAGTATAGTTATAACAGTAATATCAAAGTCCAAACAATGAACCACACTATAATCATTAAAATGAACCGCTGTGCTATTGGACTATGTACACAATAGAATTAGAAACATGGCGTAATTCAGATTAATTGGTGCTGCTAGATCTTCTTTGCAAAATCCTCCATGTTGACATCTACAAGTAAATGAGAATACACAACTTAAAGGGGAGATGAGTATCAACTGATCAAAAATCAATTCTAGGTGATGCTACTTGCAGCGATTTTATAAGCGGTGTGTGCAATTTGTCAACTGTTTGCATTTGATTCAGCTTCAAACTTGCAGCGCAAATTGGCGAATAACAAGTAAGGGTTCAACATCAGTTTTTTGCGCAACACCTCACCAGAACATGAGAATTATCAAGAAGGAGCAGTCCACGAAAAAAAGCGACTCATGTGAATGTACAATTAACAGACAATCTGTATCGCGAGAAAACGTTGCGATTGTTTTCATCAGAGCTTGATAGAGAGTATGAATAATTTTACTGATGCTCTACTTTTGTCGTAATTCTTACCATGGTAATCCGGAGTAGGAATATTATATCCATTAGGTTGAGTGTCTTTGATGTTTTTGTCTTGGATTTCTAATCCCTTATTGTCTTGTCCACTTACAGGATGGACTGGGGAAGAACGTCCAGATCCATGTTGCTTTTCACTTTTGTGATCTCTTGCAGACTCGTAAGGGGATGGTCCAATGGCACTGAGAAGCACGGGGAGATAGCACAGACCATGGAATAATCCAAACAGCACCACAGCAAAGAACACCTGTGAAGCACATATATGAATCATTTATTATATAATTTTTTGTATTATGAGTGGACATCGCTCTCTTTATTGCGACTCCAACTCTCAAGTTCTTTAATTCACCGAAGTAGACTAAAGGAACAATCAGACACCGCATATGAATGTTAACTGACTAGCAACAAAATATACGCTGAACAACTCAAATGAAACGTTACCTTAAAAAATGTCTTGAAAACGTAGGAGTTGGACGCAACAAGTAAAATAAACGCTAAAAACGTACTAAAGCCACCATTGAAGACGGCAGGACCCATGTCACGAAGAGTGATGTGCGCGCGCTCTGCAATTCAGAATATCATCATTTATAAGTACATGTATTTTGTGAATTTAAAGATCTCTTGGATCATTACCTTGTCTTGTACCTGCAGTCACCATGAATGAGTGGGCTATATGCGATGCATAGTCAACAGCCAGCCCTACTGCTAACACTAGTAAAATAGTAGTCACTGTGTCAATTGTCAGTCCCCAGAAATGCATCAAACCACCAACATTTACCTTAAACAGATGGTCAAGAACCAAAATTACACAAGGCTTTCGACAAAGATTTTAAAACGGTGGATTAAATAACGAAATGGATGGTGGCGAGGGTGGTGAATCATGACACAACAAGAAGTCTATCTTACCAAAGTCAAAACAATGCAGGTAAGAACCATTAACGATGTCCATAGATTGGCAATGACGACAAGAGTAACCAAGAAAACAACAGCCATTGCAAGCGCAACATTCCGATACAGTTCTTGTTGAATGATCTGTGAATATCGAACAGATAACCATATATTTAGCAAGTGAGCCGGTTTACAATCTTCTTTGCTACAAAGACTGCCGGATATTTTAATATCATTCGCATGCGAGGTAGACTTGTCTAAGACAATGGTAACATACCTTGTTGGTTTCCCAGTTTATGTATCGGCGGCCATAACTAAAGACGGACATTTCATCAGAGTAGATGTCCTTAATTTTCCTTCGTAACTGATCCATAGCTTTTACTTCGGTTTGTGTTGTATCCATGTCTTTATGTTTGAAGCTCATTCGACTAGCCTGAAATAATACTCTTAATGAATGTCGGTCTACTCCTTTAATTGATACTATTTTAAACGTACCAATATTGTTAGCCCAGAACTAGCATTTTTAAGCTTCACGTCTCCAGCAAATGTCTTCCCAACTCCGGCTAGATATTCATTTAGCCATGAGTAGAACAGAGTTTCGTTTTTGATTCTCGATCTCGATTCTATTTCTTGGATGAAAAAGAGATATATCATTGTTCCACCCTGAACTGTCCCTCCTGCCTACCGTACAGGTCTCACCTGCCGGTATTAACAGTAGAGCTTATTGACAGGTAGGCCGAACTATTCTAAACTCTACAAGATGTCACTAACCATCAAAAAACGACGACGGCTTGTTAGTTTTTGCCCACACCCTGTATTCTTCGTACCAACTAACCATGGACGTTCCCACGACGTACTCATCTTTTATTACTATGTCATGCACTTTTTGTAGTTTGATTTGATTTGCGAAATAATCAAGTTTTCCTAGAAACAGGTGGGGAAAACGTACATATCATTTTCATCAGTGAACAAAAAATAAACGGAGCTGCAAAGCCTTGTAGGGTGGTCATATACTCAGCGTCAGTCTCACAAGACAAATTTACTAAAACTATAATTTTTCTGGAGAGCTCTTTTACTCTCCTACGTTAATCCTATGATCAATCTACTACCGTAATTCACTCTTTTTTTAGAAAATGCTCCATTCCACCTAACAGTCGTACCTGTATAAATTGCTGCACTTTCACCGTCCACTGGAAAATACTATGTAGTAAACATCAATTAGTAATTCAGTGTAAAAGTACATACAACATGTTCGTACTAACCTTATTATCCGCTGAAGTGTACTTGTAGGACATGGAGTCCGGAGGGAAAAACCAAATTTGATCAAAATACTGACGCAGCATCAAGGTCCCATACAGATTGAATCCAAGTAATACGGCAGTGATAACCATAGTAGTTACCTTCAAGCAAACAAGTCAGAGAACGTGACAAAATGTCCTAAAAGACTATTTGTCACTATCAATACGATTGTGATGGACCAATGGCGGACCCAGGGATGTCTGATTAAGATGGCTTGCCACCATCATTATTAGGGTTCAAAAACATAGAAATAGAAACTTGAAGACAGAGATAAAAAAAATATGAAAGGGACTCCTACTGAAAGACAACGAAAGAAGCGTTTATCTGGAAGAAATTCAGTTTTCGCATCCCTATATCTATCCATTTAATATTTCTTTTTAATTCACTCTCTTATGTAATGTTCTGAATACACCACTGTGTCTAAAATCTCAAATTACATCAATACTGTTTATCAACGTACCTTTCCAGGCAAAGAGAGTACTACTTTTGAGTAAACAGAACCAAAAAACTCCTTCATTCTGTCCCTTGCCCCACACAATGATTCAGCGTAGCTGTCTGATAACTTGATGCAACAGCAACATGCATCTCTTTTGCTTTCTTGTCTAAAGAATGATCAAGAATTAAAAGGTAATTTAGAGTAAAACCATGTAACATTGCATTCTTTAAGAGAATATCGACCACGATTTTTTTCTTGTATTTCACAGATCAGAGTGCCTTTCATTCTACCAGTAGTAACAAAGGAGGGAGTAAAGGAGGCCCAAGTATACCTTTTGGCATCAAGAGCAACACAAGCCGTGAAAAACGTTGCCTGGATAAAAAAGTCTGCTAATATTCCTAAAATCAAAGAATAGTATCATTAGTACCCGTATAGCATGATACACAAATTACCCATCCACCACTGTGATCGCTTACGCAAAGTACACCACTCCTGCCCAGTATCTTATAGCCAACATTTGAGGGTACTACATTTCATGCGCAACCTCAGTATGCTGCAGTAGTGGGAAGAACAACGAAAGTCTTACCTATACCAGCAAAGATACAAAACGACTTCAGAGCAGGAAGAACCTGAAAAAACGATTGATTCATAACATAAACGAACTCAGTAACAGTTGTTATAGGAAAATATTTAATATGACTTCCTTTATAAATTTGAATTTACAATATGACAGACGAACTTACTGTCGTAGCACCAATCATGAATGCCATAAAATCAGTCAAAGACGTGATAGTTATAGAACAGCCCTAAAACAAATCAAAGTAGTCTTTCACAATAAGATACTTCAAGGTATATACAATAAAAAAATCTTTTTTCATCATGTGACGGGTTCTTACCGCATGCTTCAAAGCTAACGCGGTGCGTTCTTCCACAGAAAGAGTCTTGTGACGATGAGGGGATATATTATTCCATGACTGAACAATGACAAACATGTCATCCACACCAATACCTACATTGTACACAAGTAAATCATCATGAACTGACTATATGGCAAAATGAGGCTAGAGACTAAATATATAGTGCGCATAGACACAGTCAGCGCTGGGTGATATGGGTAAAGCACTTCACCTTTTATAGTGAATATAATAGTTATTCCGGCTCCTATTATTTCCATGTTTTTCTTGTAAGATCAATTCTTAGAGATCTTCAACTCGGGCTAATTGAAACAACTTAAGCATTCGGTCAAGATGACTCGAACTCAATGGAACTTATCATCAAATCTTCCAACGATGATCCTCCTAAATCTTGGAAATATGTCTTTCTTACAAGTTCCACTGTAGAAATACTCTTCTCGAAGCCTAATAAGTTATTTGAAAACAGTTTTTCTTACCAAGAAGTAAAAATGGCAATGTTGAGTGTACTGGTCCATACATCTCCCCAAAAGCACTAGACAATCCAAAAGAAACACCAATAGCAAGCCCAACACTAATGACACCCAAGATGGCTAACCAAATCTACAAAAACAAAACTGCCTTATGAATATACCATGGACGCCATATAAACCCTGTCACATGATATGGCCAAAACGTTGGGTGTCGGTGGGGGTGGATCTACACTTGCATGAAACCCAAGTGGAAGTTGGAAATATACTTAAAAAAAAATAGATATTCATTGGGGGTTGTTAACCTTGCCCATCTGACCCCACATACCAGGCAAGGCAATTTTCAATGCATTTTTCGTTAATGTTTAGACTTTAGTAGTCCTGCCTCTCGTTTTGACCAGCTTGCAGAATCGGTATTTTGTAGCTTTTTGTGAGAGAATGGTTATCACAGTTGCCAGTTGGAAGCATAATGCTGGCAAAGATTTCATGGTACTAATGCAAACAATAGGTAGAAACAGTTGACTTACCTTCTGCCTGAGTCTTGTTAGATTACCAAGCATAAATGCAACATATGCAATGATCAACATATAGCCTGCTGACAAGAATGTGACATCTCCTGAAATGGCTGATCCAGCATCGTCACGAAAACTAGTAACAATGAAACAACGATTTAAATGTAAATGCTTGAGCTGATTTAGTCTTTATCTTTCACACCTGTAAGTATTGAACAAATAGACATTCTTCAAGACATCTGATTTCCAGCTTTTAACAGTTGTTGATACTTCTTTCTCCCAGTTTTCTCCTTTCACTTCGCCCTGGGAGATGCCAATAAATCCATCA